AGAATAAAAATGACAATATTATATGAATATGAAATCCTATAATTGGGAAGCCATTCTATAATAGTCACTATCCTATAGAGAAATCTCATTTGCTAATATTTCTTCTATCATTAACCAGTGGGACATGCTCTTTTATCCACATTCTTGTGATCATAAATTTATGCATAGTCGTTAAAAAAAGGGTAAATAGTAAAAACAGAATTTAGGTATATAGTTGCATGTTTGTAGACCAGGAAAAGGAATCTCTTCTACTTCTTCGCATCTTCTTGCCTTCTAATTTATCTAAATAAGATCCACCATTGCCCAGTCTTAAAACAATAATGCAAATGAATTTACTATGGCTATTCAAGCTGATTTTATATAGCATTTACTTCATTACAAAATGATTGTATTCTGTGTTCTTAAATAGTTATCTGAATTTATTTGAATTTTTGGAACTATAAGGAACTTTCAGAATAAATTGAACGATGAGTAAGAGGCAAATACATTTTCAGTTAACTAGTACTTTTATTCTACATTGCAGATATATCAATATTAACAACTGTGTATCTCTATATCCATATGGCTTGATAGAAGATGAAAATTGCTTCCAAATCAGGTTAAGAGCCCAGAAGCTATACTGTTTTACTATTAACTCTTCCATTTGTTCAAAGTGGATATATAGTGGCTACAAGTAGTCCTTGACTTATAGACATTCATTCAGTGACCATAGTTGCACTGACACGAATGAATGGTGGTTGTGACCAGTTCTCAGAATTCCAGCCATCCCAGCAGTTGCACTGACACAAATGAATGGTGGTTGTGACCAGTTCTCAGAATTCCAGCCATCCCAGCGCTCCCTACAATAATGGATTGCAATCTGGGGGCTTGCACTTAATGACCAATTTCAGTGCCCAACAATCACATAATTGCCACTTGCAGCCTTCCTTGCCAGCTTCCCCAGGAAATCACTGGGGAAGTTAAGGAAATTTGCAAGATACTGGGGTAAGTCTCTCCCACCCATGCACACTCCTCCAGGTTCTTTGTACTTGCATTGCACCAGTCATGCATGCAACCTTTCTGAGCCCTGCTGTGCCTTCCTCACATCCCTCACACCCTCCCCAAGCCTTTTTATGCCTCTAGTGCACCCCTTGTAGCCTTCTCTTGCATCCTCATACTCACTTGAGTCTCCCCCCCCCCCCAGAAGCAGCCAGTTACCTGCCTGCCAGCCTGCAGACTTGCAACTTTCTGCCAGATTCCTTACAATTTGTTTGTAGGAAGCTGGCAGAAAGTGGTCTCACCTAAAGACCTTGGGATTCAGTTAATAACTGGGACTGCCAGCATTGCCTTTACTAAGTGATACAATCAGACTTTATGACCCCAAAATTTAGCGACAGAAATTTCAGTCCCAATTGCTGTTATAAGTTAAAGACTATCTATCTATCTATCTATCTATCTATCTATCTATCTATCTATCTATCTATCTATCTATCTATCTATTCAGAGAAATCATTGTTAAAGTCTAAAGCGAAATGTGGATATCTGTGACATTGCTTTTAGGCCTTTTGCACTGAAATCTTAAAATTGAGATGATTTGTAGCTATAGGTTATAAGAAAAGGAACAAGCTTCTGTAACAATCTATAAATGTTATTTGTTATCTTTCTGGATTTGTTCATATTATCTGACCTACAGGTCATAAAATCTTGCTGCCAATTTTTTTCTTCTTACTTTTCTTGGCAAAACTCCAGATTCAGTGGATTTTTTTCCAGATAAGTTTGTTATTGTTGTTAAAAATGCTTTTGATAGTTTCAAAAGAACTGGCTTCGGAGCATTATTCAGCTAAACTCAGAACTTAAAATATTTATTAGTACATTAGACTCATAGAGTTGAAAGATATTTTAGAGGTCATTCAGCTCCCCTACTCAGTGCAGAATCCACTACAGTATATTTGATAACCACCCAGCTTCTATTTGAAGAGCTCGAATTGTAGAAAACTGATCACTTCACATGGCAGCTTGTTCTACTGAATGATATCTTGTTCAATCAGGGAGGTTTAACTGCTATCTATCTTAACCCTACTAATTTATACCCTTAAACCTGTTAGTTATATTCTTTGGAACAATAGAAAATAAGTCCTTCCAGTCTTACAGATACTGAAAAACTACTATTGTATCTCCCCTCAGTCATCTCTAATGACCATTTAATTATAGGGCTCATCTTGGAAATGTATGGATTTTATGCCAAAGAAAATGTATTTTAAGAAAGATATATTTCTGAATTTAAATAGATTAACAATTCTCATTGGAAAAAAAGATGAGAGGAATTTTTTTAAAGAATGGTAAAAGATCACAGTTCTGAAGAATTGTGTCCAAGAAACAAGACATGATAACCTCAAGGTATTAAATTTACACATTTTGTATAAATGTGCGTCTATGTTCAGGTGACTAGATTTATTTGTATACCTAAGGTAACTTGGCAGGGAAGTTTTGTTTAGTCTCTTAGGTCATATTGCAAACATATATATTTACAGGGTTGCACAATAGTTTTATTAATACCTAGCTCTCAGTGCTGATGTGATAGGACGTGAGCTAATCTAAAGATTCTCAAACATTTTCAGGCTGCAGAACTTTTTCATTAAAAATAAACTCCTGGAACTTCTGATCAAGTGAGGTGGGACTTCTGAATGTCAGCATCCAACCTTTCTTGTACTTATACTTATTCTTTATTAAGGGGGGGGGAACTTAGCCTATTGCCAAGAATTTTATCTTTGTTCCTCTGGAAACTATTCTGTGGTCCTCAGATAAACAAAAAACAAAAAAGAACCCCGAATATAGACCTTACATATTGTATTTGGAAGCTACTTACAAGCCATTAGCTTTTAGAATTTTGATTCTGTAATGTGCCTTATCACATTTTTGCTGCATATTATGATGCAGAAATAGATTATTATTTTGTATCTGGAGGGCAAATTTAATATCATCTTTAGATAACATGGAGTGAGAGCTACAGTGCATGATCAGAGGTTGCAAAGTGGTTAGGGCCTAATCACACTCATGAATGAGGCCAGCATTTTCTTTATTAGTGACCTACCTCCTTCCCTCCAAAGAAGCAGAAACCAGCTGCTGAGTTTTAACCATGGCACAGGTATAAAGTAATGGTGTAATCAGAACTGGTTGGGGAGTAAAATAGATACAAGGAAAACCATATGAAGATTAAGAGCACAGGTATTTATACTTGTGGCAATACAACAATATTAAACTTGGTACTATTGACTGTGTTACTCAGGTACTGGTTTTCCACTAGTCAGTGTATATAAAATTTTATATATGGGATGCTCGGTCTGTCTGTCTATCTATCTAATCTATCAATATCTAATATACCTTATACCTATAATATTCCTATGTTATAGATTGTAGATACTGTGAACAATAATCTTTACTTGAATATAAGATTCATTTTATTATATAGTGGATGTTCTCTATTTTTCATGATGTTGTTGCATATCTTATTTTCATTTGTTTCAAACATATGTATAGCGTTTTATAGTGCTTTAAAAATCATATTGATACAGTTGGTTGGATTGACAAGTTCTAGTAGAATTATGTATCTCCCATAAAATCAGAAGAATTATATAAAATCCCATGATCAGAGATTCTGTTGTGCAAATGCTAACTGGCTAGTCAAATATATTTGTCTGGCAAGAGCAGAGCCAAATGGGGAGAAATGAACAATTTACTTGGACACAAAAAAAGAGTGTTGAGTTGGTTTATTGCGACAACAACAAATATAAGTGTGGTAGCTTTCTGTGTAAAAGAGCAACATGATAATTTATTTGCTTAATGACTCTTTGAACCTCAAGGGAGCAGAACATGGCCACCATTATTTTTTAAAAATTATTTGCTCTAGGAAAGGAATGAGAATTATTCAGATTATGCTATTTATTCAGCCAAAAAGACATTTGGGTTTCTTTAATACCATCATCTGAAGTATGTCTCTGGAGAAATAGATGCCATTATTGTCCTTGAATGAAGGCACAGGATAATGTTGCAGGATCCAATCTGAGTCGGTCACTGGGACTAGAGGTTTATTCTTCCAAGCTTTAGGGCTCGTGCTGGAGCCCATCATCATGGAGAGAGAAGTTCCCTGATTATGGGCTCCAGCACAAGCCTGAAAGCTTGGAAGAATAAACCTCTGGTCCCAGTGACCGATTCAGATTGGATCCTGCACATTTACTTATGATAATTGAAAACAATAATTTTGTTGACTGCTTGCTATTTTCAGGATATATGCCTCATTTATGTCATTTAGCGTTCACATGTTAAATGGGGTTGTACCTAGAGAGCTGGCAGGACTTAACATGGAGTTTGATGTCAGTGTCGGGATGGCTGAGCTACTTTGCACTTAATTTAATCCAGATGATTTTCATGGACTTCTCGGTTGTGCTTCTTAAGTATTTCAGCCAGCATAGAATGCCAATTGTTAATATTTGTACTCATCCCAAAGCTGCCTTTTGTCAATATTTGGAGAAAGGGTGATGGTTTTTTGTTTTGCCATCTACAGAGAATGATCCAGTTTTAAATCTTTTCTTTTTTTCTGAAGTTATTGAACTTCAAAAAACATTACAATTAGCATTTCTTTAAAACCTTAACTATAAATATTTTATTCGCTCATTTATATGGCTATTTATTCATTTAACTGTATTGCACTTGGTGATAAGCACCCACAATTTAAAATTGCTATCGTTACTACTATTATACAGACGTAAGAGTAGCTGATAATAACTGGTTGTATGGTTTTTCATCAGTATCACAATGTTTTTTTTAGTGTTGTTCAACTTCCTGTAAAGATCTGTATTATTTGTGTTTTCATTGTGTATAGCTATGTTTAAAACAGGGCTGAAAAATAAAATGTACACAAGGAGGTAATATGTGTAGCTTATGTGCATCTAATGATATCAGAATAGTTCATATAACAAACAAAGCAAAACAAATAGTTTTTCTTCTGCTTTTCTGTATTTCAGGGACGATGTTCAAGGGAGAATTGCAAATATCTTCACCCACCACCACACTTAAAAACACAGTTGGAGATCAATGGCCGCAATAACCTGATTCAGCAGAAGAACATGGCCATGCTGGCCCAACAAATGCAACTAGCCAATGCCATGATGCCTGGTGCCCAGTTACAACCAGTGGTGAGCATTGTTTTACTCTTCTTCATTAGTGTTCCAGGATGTGACAGCTATTGTCTCAGTTATGGAAAAAAAATAGCCTTGCAAAAGTTGCAACTGCGGTCAGAAATTGTACATCATAGATAAGTAACACAAGAGGGAGAATAACACTTTTGTATGATGCAACTCAGGTATCTAGCATCCGGTACATTTCATTGATTAATATAAAAGCAACTCATGTACAGTAAAATATGGCCCCAAATTGGGTAAAATTTTATCTAAAGACCTGCACTAGTATCACTTGTGCTATGTATTGTCTTTATCACATAGTTGTACAATTGTAGTAATATTGGGCCACCTTGCTTTAGACAACACCAGAGGATCCAACTCCAGTTACATCATTTGGCAAGAAAGAGTAATTAGCAATACAGTTTCCAGAATAACTGGCAGTACAAAATCATTTTATTATTTTTTTTTTTTTTTGTAGAGGCACCAGTCTGTACCCACCTAATCACAAAAGCTTTTCCCTTTTGTTTCTGCTTCCACTTTCTTCTTCTTTGTTCCACCCTTCGTGTCTTCATTTTAGTATCAGTCCTCCATTATCTTTACCACCGTCTTTCCACATCGTTTTGCCTCTGCGGTTTTTGTTGGTGAATACAGAACTATTTTAGCCTATGACATCTGCTCATTCATACTTGGAAAAGAAAACAAAAGAAAAATTAAGAATACATACAGCATGGTATCAAATGACTGTATTGTGATAATGATATCAAGAGAAAGGATTTCAGAGGGAGGATTAGTACTGTGTTGCAAATATGATACTTGCCAAGGAATAGTTTGTTGAGTGGTAAGTAAGATTAATGTAATGTAGTATCCATTAGTAGCATTTTTTCTTCCTTCATGAAGAAGATGCTTAAATTGGGGCATCCAATTTTAGATTTGTTTCAGGACAAACAGTAGCTTACATCCTTGGCTTTAATTGATTTAGACATATCTTGGACTTATTACAAAATAGATCCATTGAGTTTAGTTGAATTTCTGCATGATAAATAGGGTTAATAAGGCTGTCCTAGGCTCTGATATTTTTGCACAATGGCCTATGTGTAAGTCTGGTTAAGACAAGTATAATTTAATTTTATGAAAGCATATGCAGAATTGAGGTATCCACCTATAAGAAAAGTAGCAAGCAACGTCCTGATTTTAATCTGATTTGTGGGCACAGCGATAAATACTTCAAGTTTTCCACAAATTATTTTAGACTGGTAAATTGGAGTTATACATGCAACTTTGAAAGCCTGGCTTAAATCCTCTGTTTTTAGTTTATAAATTTGATGAGCAGGATAAACAAATCAGCTTTGGCAGGAGTAGTGAACTGAAACATGCTTCCTTTAAACTAATAATAAGGCAACTAGTCAGAAATCTCCACTGTGACGACAATGCAGCTGATGTTTAACATCCTGAATTTTTCTAAAATGTGCACGTAGTTTTTAAAAAGAACTTTAAATGGAACATTTAAGGGACTGGGGTTGAAAATATATATTTTTGTGTCTTTCTCCTAAATGATAGAAGAGATTTCCACAGAAACCAATAAACTCTGTATGGGACATCCTTATGCTAAACCTGTATTCCATTTTGACTGGTTTATGGCAAAGAACTCAAGTACCCCTTTCCAGAATTTTTTAATTAAGATTTTGTTACTGAGCTATATCTGCCTTGTTTATTGTAGCTTAAGAGAGTAATGAAAAACAGTTTGATAACAGATATCCTCATCCAGTTGTAATCACAAGTTGGAAGAAAAAAATAAAGGATATGCCAACAAAATTCTTTGAATGTTGTAAATAAGAAAGAAGTTAATGAAAGAGTATTATGACAGTTATATCTTCTTAAGCATAGCAATGTTTTGAAGTTTAAAAATCAAATAAGGTGTTTCATGCATGTGAAAGAAATTTTTACTGCTGGACATAACTGGAAGAAAAGTTATTTTGTGGTAGTGTTTCCCCATGAAGAAGTCTCTTATTCTGGGGGAATCACAAGAAAAATAGACACAGTCCTATCTTGCTAATATTTAAACGTAATTTAATTATATTTCAGCTTGAAATGTAATTCAAATAATTTTCTTCAGACTGCTGTGCAGAATTTCCTGAAAAAGCAAGCTGCAATTTTGCTTTGCAAAACTAGCTGCAGCTAGAAGATGCAGATATAATCTCCTATGTAGATTTAAAAGCACTTGCTGACATGTTTGCCACACAAAGCCCCTATTGCAAAATGCTATTATCAAATTAAGATCATAATGGAAAAGTAACAGGATTTAAAGAAAGAGGTGAATCCAAACTATTTTTTATTATATATTTCCCTGTTTTAAATTGACTTGCAAAACTCTAGTGATCGGCTAGGATATTGATGCAACATTTTCCCAATGATATCATGTTAATCTGGAGTGGAGAACCTATGCTGGTTTGCAGATATCTTTAGAATAAGCAACTGTCCCTAAATGTGACACCTTCCACAAGGGGGAACTTCAAGTCCCAGAAATCTCACTAGTAGCTAAGCACATCTTGAAGCAATTGAAGAAGGCTACATGCAAGATAAAGTTTGGAGTCTAAAAATATCTAGAAAGCCTAGGTTTTCCATTCTGATACTTATAATTTATTATTTGTTTTATTAGAATTATAACTTTTAGTCACAGTTGAAACTTTAGTATCATCAGTTTATCCTTATCATTTAACTAAATGATTATTAATGATTAAGTTTAACATTTTAAGTAGTGAATTTATTACTATTATTATTATATTATTATTTCTTCATAGAACCATATCCCTCAGACATTCCAAAAAAGAGGGGGGGAGGGATCTGCATATTTCATCGACACTGATTCCATTTATCAATACCAAACACTAAAGGTGAGAAATTGTTATCATTTTGGGTCTTCTTTCTGTTTTCCTTTGTCAGCTAGAAATAATGTGTTCCTCACATTAACTGATTAAATGTACATTCATAGAATGTCAGAGAATTAACATTTCTACGTCAAATAAACTATTTGTTTTATACCAGTTAGCGAATAAAATTGACAGAATTAAAGGTAAGCCTTGATTTCATGCTAATAGTGGTATGCTACTAGAACACTGTCCACAATACTATCTTATTCAATGCACGAATTTCATTTTTCAAAACTAAGATTGTTTTTAAAAAACTTAAAACAATTGAGCGGGTATAGCACTAAAAGAGTTCCTTTTCTTCTATGATGAAAAATAGTTTATGTGCCTTTTGCATTTAGGCAAGTAAATCAGGGCTACAAGGTATAATATAATGGTTTCTCACAGATTTAGCAGTGAACTATCCAACTACTGCAAATTGTATCTAACTTATTTGCCTCATTGTTTTGTTCTTCCTAGTATAATATAGTGTCTGGTCTTTATTTGATACATACAAGTAAGAGAGGGGTAACAACTTCCTTTGCCTGCATTAAAAGAGCCTCGATCTGTTTTGGAAATAAATTTGACTCTCCTATCAACACCACCACAACCAGCCTTCATTAGGTTTTGAGTTTTCTGCATGAACCCATTGAAACTTCTTTCCATTGTTAGCTTTATTGGACACTGCTATTGGGTATAGTTTCTTATATTAAATGGTAATGACAGTGTCCAATAAAGCTAACAGATAGCAGGCTATCAGAAGAACCATGGAAGACAAGCATCCGATAAAAATTGGGAGTTGTAATCATATTCAAATAGACTAAGAACATAAAGAATATATTATTTTGTTAGAAGCCATGCTTTTTTTGTCAATAGAATTCCATCATTGGATTGTCATTAGCAAGACAATAGAGGAAACACACTGTCCCTTTACAGCTTTTATAATCAGGAAGTCAACAAATCAGGACTGGACAAGATACAAGATTGTGCAAATCTGTGGAGGTTCTCAGTCATCCAGGTCATGGTTGTCTCAAGGGTGCCTTTTCTTCAAAAATGACTGGAGTATGTTTTTTCCTTGAGGAAGAAGACGTTTCGCTTCTCTTGGATGATTGTGTGGGCTTTCTGAAGGCTCTGATCAAAATATAACACCAATTTGGCCTTTTATCTCTGGTATCCTCCAAATATATTTGGCTATTCTGTTATGCTCCTACTAATAGAAATCCCCAAACTCAGAAAAGCTTAAATGGGAATTAACTTATTTGCATGCATCCCTTGCCCAGTGTTTTACTCCTTCAGAATATAATGCAAGTTCTATGGAAAGATACCATGTTCACCTAGGACAGGTAGGCAACCTTAGCTCTTTTATGACTCATGGACTTCAACTCCCAGAATTTCTGAGCCAGCCATGCTGAGGAGAAAGGGAGAGTTTTCCAAGCTGAGCCATGCTGGCTCAGGAATTCTGGGAGTTGAAGTCCACGTGTCATAAAAGAGCCAAGGTTGCCTACCCCTGACCTAGGAAAACATCCAGTTTCATTTCTCAGCCAGATATTTTTCTACCAGCTAATAACATCCAGCCAATTTTTTTTGTTTGTTTTTGGATCATACAAGAATGGCAAACTCATTCCTCGCCCTGTTTGCATCTCCAGGACCAGTTTTTGTTTTTTTGTTTTTTTTAAAAAAAATCTGTTCCAGGATTGGCAACACCTAGATTGGCAGCTATTATGATTAAAATATCTTGCTTTGCCTTTCATATTTCAGTTGTCTTGTTTATAAGCTACGTTAACTCCTGGCTTTTCTATATTCAGGTCAGAAAATCCCAGCTACTAATTATATGCTTCCATACATTTGGATAGCTATATTTTATAGCCAAAAATTAGTGAGTTTGCTTACATAAAATCCTACAGAGTAAATATAATAAACTAATAAATCAATACATTATGTTTATTGTAGATTCATTTATTAACAATATATTCATTTATTAACAATTAATTCAGTTGTTCGAGCACAGAGGTGCCTCACATGAAACATTTGTTAATACAGTAGAACATGCATGTAAAACAAATATAATACTCATTTTATTTATTTGTATCCTGCCTTTATTTTTTTATAAATAATTCAAGGCATCAAACATATCCAATAGATCTTCCTCATTTGCCCAAAACAAAACCCTGTGAGATGTATTGGTGCTAGAGAGAATGACTGGCTCAGATCTGCCACTGGCTTTTATGGCTAAGGTGGGATTAGAAATCACGGTCTTCCAGTTTCTAAGCTGGTGCCTTAACAACCATTATGCAATCAATGAATCATTACATTACCAATATTGATCATGAACTCTATGAAGATGTTGTCTTCTATAAAGCTATGTATGTCATGGCATTCTGACATTGTTGCTGCTTTCCTTTCTAGTAGGGGATTTTATGTTTGAGGCAGGGGATGGAGGGAATTTAGTCAAGAGGCCAAAAGTAGTCCTTTCTTTCTTTTTCAAGTAATTCTTTTTCAGCCATTTGTCCTCTACCTACTTTCCAGAAGAACAAAAAGCCAAAACAAATGAGCAGACAGTGGTTGGTGTTTATCTTTCCTTTTCATTGTCTGTATGCAGCAGGTGCCCATTGATGCTGGCTTTAATATGAGACATAGATGAGCCAGCACACGCTATAAATACATGATTTATTTAGCCTTTCCAAGGAAGGCAAGGGTAATATATGGCAATGACAGCACTGTGTCTCCATAATTTCTAGCCAAGCAGTAAGACAGGTTATGAAATATATAGCCCAAGGCATAGGTTGATTATTTATGTGATGCACTCTCAGTTCACTCTAAAACCTCAGATTTCACTCAAAAGATTCCTATTTTCTAAGTGTCTTGCCTTGAATTGATACCTACCTATAAGGGCAACATGTTATACCTATCAGATTTTTCCCTTTAATTACAAATAAAAGCAAAGTCTCTATTTGTGATAGCAATAAGTGACTGAATTGAAGGAAAGCAGATGGGACTTTACTCATTTATATTTTATTTTCCTCACTTGGGGCCTGGCAGTTTTAGGATAAGAGCAGAAGATACATAGCAGATCTACCAACTTTATTTTCATGAAAATAATATGCAGATCATACAGTTAAGATTTGCTTAATACATAGTTTGCTCTTCCTGTTTGTTTAGTGATGTTCTCAGTGCTAGAAAAATTACAGAAAAATCAGAGTAGTTTGATTTTGATCAATGTACAACTATAGAAGTTTCATAATCTGGGTCCTTTAATTTGCTACTTTTACAGTGAGAGGCGTGCAGTCCAAGCGGCACCCCTGGTTCTGTCATTGTTTGTGCTCTACTTCATGAGGTCTATATTTTAGGTTCAACATGTGCTTAGGAATTACAGGTTATGCACATTGTGATATATCAGTTCTGTTCTTTTCCATTCTCCTACCTTTATTATTAATTACAAAGGTCCTTTAACTTTATGTAAATTATACTTAAGCTCAAGCATTGTACTATGCCCTGGTCTGCCTAACTTTTTTTATTGAATAAAAGAGCTGCACTTGAATAAGAATCTTAACCTGTAAACCATAATTTACAAACCATATTGGATGGATTACAAGCAAACCGAAATAAATCACATTAGGTCTTAACACAATGGTGAACTCAGCAATTTAATTTGATCCAGTCAGAACTACACTTAAGATAAATAAAAAAATACATAAATGGACGGGAAGAGAGAGAGAGACATACTAAAATGCTTAATTTTGTCATGATTAACTTACCGTACATCCCATTGGCTTTAGTAGGTTAGTTTAAGGCATAATGTCATCTGTATCTAACCTAGTGAATTTCTATATTTCAAATCATACACAAATAGTTTGATAATCTATTAATTGGTAATGTATTATTAGGGGATTTCTCTTCTTTTTTATATAAATTAAATATTTCTTTTAAAAGAATTAAATGTGTTGGTAGTGCATACAATTCTTTCTTAATATCATAAAGTAAAATCAGATGTCATCATCTAGAGAAAAAGTATTACCATATCCAAAAAAATGCATAAACAAAATTGCTACAGGACATGAAAAAATGAGATCAAAAGGAAATTCTGTACCATTTCTTTCTAGCCTGGTAGCTCTAAATATATTGGGACTATAGATCCAGTACATCTGGGAACCATGGGATTTGCCTCACTCCCAATCCATCTGCAGGGATGTATGTGTGTTGGGATTGGGAAAAAACCTTCAAGAACAAACATCTGGATTCACCTTGAGTGAGCAGAAGCAGCATGGCATGTTTCTTTCCTTATGTGTTTGATTTGCAAAATCTTGACAGGGGACAGGAAATGGGACTTGACCTTCCGCAAGACCCATCAGGCGGCTGCGTGGGCAATTAAAATGGCCACGTGCGTGTTATTCTTTGCCAGGACTACCCTCCTATGGCTCCGCCAGCTTCAGGCCAGGCTTCCTCCTGAGGACATATGGACTCACCAGGATCTCAGCGGTCGTCCCTTCAGGAGGTCCAAGTGACTCCCAAACCAACCCTCCCATAGGTGGCAGGCTATCCCTTCTCTTCCATCAGTGGGAGCTAACCACTACGGACGCCTGGGTACTGCAAACTATCCAATTCGGCCTGTCCCTTGAATTTGTATCCAGTCCCCCGGGTCATTTCATCTCCTGTCCCAAGCCCCGAGACTCAGCCAAACGGGGTCTTATGCAGGAGGCCATTCTCCATCTTCTGGAAATACAGGACATAGAACCGGTACTGCCGGATCAGAAGGGAAAGGGATTCTACTCCATCCTCTTCGTGGTTCCCAAAGCCTCGGGGGGATGGAGGGCAATTCTAGACCTCAAAGGTCTGAATTACCACATTGCATACAAAAAATTCAAGATGCAATCACTCCAGTCCATCTTAGGGGGCATCAGAAAAGGAGACTTCCTGACGTCCATAGACCTCACAGAAACGTATCTCCACATCCACATCCTTCTGGACCACTGGTGGTATCTCCGGTTCTG